ATTTCATGCTGAAGCAGAAGATGCCTTTCTTCTTCTTGGCCATTCATATAAAGGAGAATGCAACAAAGCTGTACCTGTAGGGGTGATCTTACTAAGGAACAGCCACCAGATTTTCTCTGTGCTCATGGTGTTCTTTGCTTGGCAGTCATACTGATCGGATGAGTAGCCCAAAGTTTCTTGGGGCAAGATCTTTAGCTCTCACATGCCATTAGCAGACTCGCAGATGTATTTCTTATGCTGGATTACTCCAGTGTGGAGGGGGTCATGAGGGCTGCTGTGACAATATGCAGTATTTATAGAACCAGCAGGTTTGTTTTTCTTAGAAAACCAGCAGTAATAGTCAGAAGCTCTTGTGGAGACTTATACAAGTAGCTAGGACAGAAAATGAAGCTGTTTACAGCCATCACGTAAATCGGTGACACTGATCAAATCATGGCAGGTTCTTTTTCTGGGGTCATATGAAGAAATCCAGAAAAAAAATCTGGGAAAAGTGATGATAAATATCTATTGCTTTGGCTAAAACAGTGGACTCTTCTCCACCAAGCTATGGAGCATTGTGCCACAGCAAATAAATTCAAACCAATTCCCTTAATCTTTGACATTTTAATTTGCACAATGTGTTAACAAGACCTAAAAAGACCACTGCACTGGGACAATGTTAGACACCAGGAAATGGGCATTCACAATAATATTAGCTCTCCTCGTGTTCAGTATTTTCAAGGTTCAGGAGATCTGATGTGAAATGTGGCACTGTCCGTAATTCCAGCACCAAAACAACATGTTCCCAAAGGGGAAGGAACAGGATTTTTTCAAATGTAGAGCCTTGTTAGAGCCATTGTAGTTTGAAGGATACTAATATGTTTTGCTCTGGTGTAAAGAGCAGTATAGATATCTGTAGTTCAGTGCCTGTGAGAGATTTTGATCTAAACAAAGAAATAGCCTTCAAATAGTCAAAGGTCAGAGTACAAAAGTATGGATTTAATGCAGTAACAGCTTCTGCTTGTAGAGGTTCCATCCTTTGACCTTTATGGCAGCTGGAAGGTATTATTATTATTGAATAATTACTGACATTACCAAATAATATGTCACAGAGCTATAATTAATATTGAGTGGAGGGGGAGCTGTTTTTAGTTAATCTTTTTGTAGTGCAGTTTAAATGCTTCTTGGACAGAATAAAAGATAAAATAAAAGGTATAGTAGAAACTGGACAATTTTGCATGGGGTGTTCAAGATACTGGGAATGTTTTAAAGCTGTGTACCTCTTTCTGGACTAGGCAGCAGTATTTGGCTATACAGCTGTAGCAGAAGCACTAAACAGAAGTGGCAAGCATCCATACTGAAGGTCCAGATTCCATTTTATCTCATAAACATGTACTGTCCTGCATGACTGGCAACGATTGCATAGGCTGACCTATGTGATCAGCAACTGTGGGCATATGTTTTAGTTTGACAGAAACATGGCAGTTCTTCCTAGAATCGAGTTTCTGTTTACTTCCAGCTCTGAGGGCCAGTGTTACAATACCATATTTTCATGCATACCACACATACACTGGAATATAATACACACTTTGTTTTTGAAAGGCAGAATGAAGAAGAAAAGAGTTTTCCAGACTTGCATAAAACAAGGATAAAGCCTAATCATCAGGGGTGTTTATACACATATTCCAGGAGGCAGGGGGTGGGGAGGCACTTTAATCAGAGTGGCTCCAAGAGCTGCTCTAATTAAATCTCCCAGAGCATCACATGTATCAGCATTCCCCCACTGAAAAATGGCGGTGGGGCTGCTTTATCTAAGCATCCCTGCTGCCATTTTTCAGTACAGGGACACTGATGCACATGACGCCGGAATCTCCTGGAGCACGGTAATTACCACACTCCAGCAGACTTGATTAACTGAGTCTGCTCCAATATGCTGTAATTACAGTACGTCAAAGCAGCCTCAGTGTACGTGTATAGGTACTGCAGATGACTTGCCCTGCTTAGGCTGTGCAATAGGAGGAGAGAAACCATGAGTAACTAGCAGACAGAAAAAATTGTCCTAAGAAAGGCTAGCTTGATCAGTAGAACACCAAGACCATTAAAAAAGAGAGTGTGGAGTGGAGAACAATGAACCAGTCAGTCAACTGATTCCCTTTGGTGCCTGAATAGTAATACCACAGCTGCTGCACTGGGGAGCAAGAATCAAAGCAGGGTGCTTCAACCCCAGGTAGAAAATCAGCTTCCCCACTTAATACACACCCCCCAAGTTGGGGAGATCTGATTTTGGCAGGAAAGGTGTGTGTTGTATGAGATAAAACAGGGTATATTTTATGTTTTTTGGGGGGTGAATGGTGGTTGATGTGCATGAGCTTTGTCTCTTGTTTCTTTTCAGTGAGGGAGTACCATGCTTTACTGGGGAAGAAAAAAATCACAAGGACGCATTCTGAGTGTAAAATGAGCGCAAACTGGTGCGTGCTGCATGGAAAATCAGTTCTGTCACATAAACAGAAACAAGCCATGAATGTTTGCCATTCGGAGCTTGATTGCATATGTGCGTGCTTTCAGGACTTAAAGCACTCTCTGGATATGGGCAGCAGCAGCAAATAGATATTTCTTCTCTGATATGGTGACACTGTCTTATTGTTTGAATGAAAAATCACTGCATGAGGAAATGTGCCTATTAACAGGATAAAGCAGCTTTGATTTGTACTTTTGTGAAGTAATTACGGTGTTCTTTACCCTACCTCCCAAAGCCTATAGAAGGAGCCATCTAGTGGTCCTGGGTTTTGGCAAAATTGTTACAGATAATCCTGGAACATTTTTAACAGTATAATGTATGTACATCTTCAGTTTTGAAAAAGGTTGAACTAGAAGGTCAGTTTCTCAGCTAGATTTTAATTTGCATAACTCCATTGGCATAACTCCAGGGCTGATTTATACTAGCTAAAGTTGTGACATATGGAATTCATCTCTCTTTCGGTATAAAACCAGGTTAGAGTACCTCTCCCATGGCAGATTGCTTTGCAGTATTTTATAACATCACATTATGGTAAAGCACTGGTTTTTGTGCACCAGAAGAATTAATATTTTCCCTACCTGATTCTCACAGTTGGTTATTTCAACATGGAGCTTTCTTCATAATGTGCTATAACCCTGCTGCTAAAAAAAACAAACAAAACAAACCTTGGCTAATTCTTAAGAACTGTGAATTATGGTTTTTATAACAGCTGGGCATGTTGTCAGAACACAACTGCTTTTTTTGAAGCTTTAATTAGGAATTGTTGCCTTTCATCGTCTCCCTTATTCTGTCTATTGTCAGGACGCAGGAGCATCATTGAAAGAAGAGATCTTGATTTTTATGAGCTGGATTTTGAACTGAACATGTCCACTTGAGCATATTCAAATTGGCCATGAGGAAACAACAGATTCAAACAAGAACATGAGAACGTATGCATGATCAGTTAGCCACCAAGTTGGTCATGCGCATGAACATGCGATTTAAATGCATGAGTATTGTATTCACAAAAGCCTTGTGTTTCAGGGTCCCAGCTCAGGGGTGGCTGTGATGCCCCTGGAGCCCCCCCTCAGCCTTTGCCACCTCTTCTTTCTTCAGGCAGTCTCTCCATCAGCTTACCTACCATGCCGTGATGCAGTTATGCTTTCAGAAAAAGGGAGGCTGCCCCAGGGCTCCCCAAGTAAGATCTCATACTCATGGACACAGGTGTCACTGCTCATCTACTTAAGGGCTAATTATGTGGCCTCCTCTCCCTTTTTAGTCCCATCCAAGCCTTGCAGATGTTACCTATCACTCGCTTGTCATTGGATGAGCCCCATTGTCCAATCCAATCAGTTTCTCCTCCATGGGCCTTTGCTCCAGTGTCAACTCCAATCCATGCAGGTCGCTAAACCTGAAACAGTCTCTGCCACTGTTGAGGCCACCAGCCCTGGTGTCTTTAACCATCCCGGCCCCTCCTGGGATTGGGTCTCTGTACTTCAAACAGTCTCAACTCCTCCTGGACTTAGGCCTGCATTCTCTGCCCCTCCTGGGCTCAAGCCTCTGTCTCCTTAAGTATACCTCTACGTCCTTCCCAGCCCCTCCAGGGCCCAGGTCTCTGTCCTGTGCCTCTCTTGGGCCCAGGCTTATTACCTCCAATGGACTTTGCCCCTTCTGGGCTACAGGCCCCCTTACCCTGCTTATTCTTGCCCCTCCTGGGCTACCAGGTCCCTGACCCTGGTTCTTGCCCCTCCTGGGCTGCAGGTCCCTGACTCTGCTTGTTTCCATCACTCTGCAGCTATAGGCCTTGCTTCTTGGTCTTGGCCCCTATCCCTTGGGCCCTAGCCCCACTCTTGGGCCAGCTGAGACTTCCACAGCCACTACAGTTTCAATCCCTAAATTACCGGTCTTGCCTACCCCAGCTCAGGTGTTAGGAAGGAGCCTTGGTGCAGCTCTTCTGCTCAGAGGCTCTTCTCTCCATGGTTTCCAGGTCAGACTGCCTGCCCAGCTTTGGCCCTGGGCTTATATCTTGCAAGCCCAGCCCCATTTGAATCATGTGGCTCCCTTGATTGCCCTCTGCCTCACCTGCAGCCTGCTTCTTCTGCAGCCTCCCTTCCCTTAAAGTAGCAGAAACACCAAGGTCCCTGGTACACCTACAATATCAAGAGGTTGCCATTTAAAAAGTTAGTGCTTGACATTAAAGACTAAAGTTATTGCCTATTCTAGGCAAAAGGAAAGACTTGTTTCTTAGTTGCTGTTGTGTGTTGCGGTTAGCAGCAGCTGACTCTTTATGCTATTTAGTTTCATCATGGAGTATGAAAAAAAATTCTTCAGCAATCTCTTTATAGATTATGAAAGTTTTACATTGCTACTAATAGTCTCATGAATAAACCCAGGAATTTAAGTAATCTTACTGTATGTTTCTATATACTCAAAATCTATATCACCAAACGTGTAGAGAATAATATAGATATCTAGTAAGAGTTTACATTTTATTAAGTAGACATTTTAACAAGGCACATTGACGATGATGGAAGATTTTAGAGTTGTAGGCCATGTATATTCTCACACTTACCATAGTATGCTAAAATGTACAGGTAAGAATGAATGTGTATTTGCAGCAGAATTCACGCTGTCTATTTGTACAATGTGCGTCTAGGCCCAAAATGTTAATTTTGTTTTAATTTTACATTAATGTTAGCAGTAATGCAAATCTATATTCTAATCAGCAGTAATCTCATGCACACTCCTGTGAACAGAACATTCCTTCCCGCAGCAGAAATAATTTGCATGAAAGGGTAAAGCACAGTGCACACCCAAAATAGTGAGACATCCCTGGCTGTTAACCCCTATGCCGCCTTCCACTGGGATTTATAAAAAAAAAAACAATCTCTAAAAGATTCTTTATAAAAGCACACTGTTGACAGTTTGCTCCCAATGCCTTTAAAATACAAAGGGAGACTTGACCTGATCTTGCTTTTTTTTGGAAATTAGTAGCAGATGTCTTGTAGACTTCAGTGAGAGAAGGAACCGGCCTTTTATCTGCACAGCTAAAGTAGTTATCACTTGCTTTGGCTCTGCAAATTTGTGGGTGTTATTGATTTCAACAACATTGTATGATCGCATTAGAGTTATACTGAGGATCACAAAGAAATGAATGTTTTTCAAAGACTGTAATGGAACTATGTTTAAATCTGTTGGTTTCTATTTGGATGCAAAGTTTAATTTTCTATGAGTAAGTGAGTGGGTATGGTCTCTTCAACCAGCAGTAGTCAGAACTCAGCAGGTGACTGCATGGGGTGAAAGAGCAGCAGTCTGTATACAGTAACCCCATAAAATAACTGGATTTGGGTACAGCTTCCCAAAAATATTGCTACAACACAAAATTCTTGTATTGCCAAAGCCAGAAATGGAGCCTATATTATAACACAGTTTTATATGTTGTGCAATTGAGATTAGATCTGTGCAGTAAGAAAGTTCAGTTCCTTTTGGTGATGGTAGGAGAATATTCCACTTCCTCTGTCAAGTCTTGTACAGTTAGCACGAGTTGCATTTGCTCTGTGTATGATTTTGGCTTCAAGCCCCTGGTATGACCTGACATCTAGTCTGTGTTTCACGTGGTTTGAAAGTGCAAAGGGAGACACAAAGGTGCTGTCAACAAACTGATAGACACACAAGCAGGAGATGAGAAAGATTTAATTTGAAAAATCTACCCATTGAAACATGCACCTTGGTTTCAAGATAATAGGAGTTGTCAGTGATGCCTTTATTTTGTTGACTTAAAAAAATTCATCACAGGCCCTTGGCAAGAAAAAAGAAGTCTTCAGTTAGTCCAGCTTTATAGGCCAAGTAAAACTATTTTTCCTTCAGCCAGTTTAAGGACAGGCTGTGCTGCTTTCACTTGTACTTCAGCATATTACTAATGAATAGAGTTAATTGTCAGCAGCTGTTGAAGTGCTAGTCTACTGGTACTGGGTGTGATTTTTTTTTCCATGTCTGCCAAATTGTGTAAAGGGCAGACATCATGCGTGGGCCTGATCTTCCAGTTCTTAGCAGCAGAAATTGCTCTTGGCTTTATCGGGAGTTGTGCCTGAGTAGGAACTGAAGGACTGAACTTGGTGACATGGAGAATCCAAATTTGGTAGCAATATAGAAGTATGAGGTGACCATCCAGTTTTGAGATTAGAGACCTAGTCTGGAATTTGTTAAACCTTTCATTTTCCAACATATCAAGCTTTCAGTTAGTTTTACTTGCTTCTTTCATTTACAGAATTCTTGGGTTGTTCAGTTTTTGGATCTCAAGAATTTGAATCTCTGCAGTTGCTCAAGGTTCTGTGTTTTAATGAGCTCCCGCTAGAGCACTCTTTTCCTCCATTTGGGAAAGTTAATGCAAACCCTAGTTTTATATAGTATTTGCACATGAAGCAAATCTGTCTTTTCCCGTTCCAGAATGTAAGTTCAGAGCCCCACTTCCTGGGGAAGAAAACACTTTGGATGAAGCGATGAGGGAAATGGTACAAGAGTGCATCATCTGTTTGCTTTCCTTTTTCTTGCGAGATTTCAGCACAGCTTCCTATCAGGATCTGTGTGCAAATGTATGCCAGCCATGAAAGAACATAACACTTCTACTCTCTGGGCTGGAATCTCAGCTCATGTCAATCAGCTTAGCACCACCAATCTCGGTGGAGTTGTGGTGATGTACAACCAGGTGAATCCATGGTTCTCACATTCCTGCATGCTGACAACATATGGAGCATGCATGCTGGTCAGATAGTTTGAAACAGAGATGGGCACAAGTTGCGGTGTTCAGATGTCAATTGAAATATTATCCAAGCTGAGAGGCATCCAGGTCTTATGCTTTGGCCTGACATAAATCCAGGAACTTGCAAATTTCCAGAAATGTGTTTCCTGAAGTGTTGAGATGGGTAGGATGTTGTCATGCAGGAGTTTTATTTTGCCCTGTATCTATGCACAAGAACAGGAATCCCCACAGAAAAATCCCCAAATATACATGCCTTTGGAGATCCCCTCACTTCCTTCCTCTCTTCTTTCTTCCTTGTCAACTTGCTACTTGCTGTATGGATTAGAGTTTATAAAGTAGAGTGTTTTTAAAAACTTGGAGACAAAATCATTTAACCACACTCAAACTGTGAGATGGGATATTGCCAAGATATACAGAAATATCCTATCATGCACTTGCCTTTGGAGACCTTAGGAAGACTTTAATGAAAAAGACAGATCTTTTCCCATCGCTTCAGCTAGGTATTTTGGCCCTAAGTGTTGAATGATGGAATGTTCCAATTACAGGCAAAGAGTGCTTTAAAGTGTATTTAAAATGAAAACTAACCTTGGGGATACTTCTGATTGCTGTAAAGTGGCTTCCCTGTAGGTTTCCCTTCTGCACACTGGTATTGTTGAAACTCAGCAAATAAAGTTCTTGTTTGCTCTTTCATGTCTTCCCGCTATATTTCACATTTCGAACTTCTTAAAGTGCAATAGGTCCAAATAGAGAATAAATTTGGGTATGTGGGGGAAGGGCCTGTGAGGTTTCATTTAGCTAATTAGTGTCTCGGATACACTGCCTTGCATTTAATGCTGTCATATAATCAAGAAATGAAACTGGCAGAATCAAGTGATGAAGATCCCACTGTTTGCTTTTGCAATTTGTGCAGCCTGTCTTGTGAGCTGAGTTATGCTGCAGGACCAGCTTATAAATAAGGGGATTTTTCAAAGAGTTTGAACTAGCAGTTTAAGTAGCCAGTCTTGTATAACATGAATAGGAATAGGGGTCAGGAGGTCTGCAACAGATTTGCTCTGCAGTCATGGAAAAGTTACTTAACTTGCTTTACCCAAAAGGGATTGTCCATTTGTAAAATCAGACTAAGAGCCTTAAATCCTCAGCTCTACCAGGGCTGTGGGATTTGAGGCGCTCTGGCATATTTAGAGCCAAAGAGTTTCACCACGGTGGCTTTGACGTACCTTTTGCACTTTTTTATTCCTTCATCCTTCTTGGGGCTGTGCTGGCTTTCAGCGTAATTTTGAAGACTGCTCTAAAGGAAACCTGGATGCAGCCAGGGGGTTGATACCCATCCTGGAATTATAGGTGTTTGATACACTGTGGCTGTATTTCTTTCTTTCCATGGCTAGGGACAGAAGTTACACATAAACCAGTTTAAATGATCAGAAACTGGTTGAAACCTGTAACAGAGTAGAAGTTCAGTGAACATAAATCAGTTTCAAAATGGCTAAAACTGGTTTAAGATAAACCTGGTTGAATGTAGCATCAGACTTAACTGATTTGGATCAAGCCTGTTTATGAAACTTTTGTTCCAAGCCCCTTCCAGGTTCAAGTTAAATTACAGTCCCCCCAGTATCCGAACATGCTTTCCAGCCCTGGTCTGGGCTGTGCCGTCTGCTCCAGCAGAGAAGAGTTGGGGGTGGGGGAGGAGAAGGGGACTGGCCACCCCCAGGCAAACCCCGACTGGTGTCTGGAATCAGGGAAGGAGGTTAAACTTCCGTTCCCCCGAGTACAGAATGACCCTGTCCTGCTAAAACTTTACTGCTGGCTGTGACTGGACTACAAATCCCAGAGGCACTTGGAAGCAGGAAGAGGAAATGATGAGCAACCCTGGGGAGTCCTGCTGTTGTGATTCTGGACTGCAAATCCCAGAGACCTTGGGGGAAGCAGGAAGAAAAAGCAAACACACAGCCCATGCTGGCTATGTGCCAGAGACCCATGCTCTAGCATCTTTTGGCTCATGGCCTGAGCCACTGCAGGCATGTGGCTGCATTTCCTGAGTCAAAGGTGAATGTCCAGTTGTTTCTCAGCTTAATCTTTGCAGTTTAGGCTAACTTACAAAGACTATCGATTCAGCCTTGGGCTTTTTGACTATCTGTACTTAGCCCATATGTCCTTCTGCTAAGGTTGGGAAGAATGAGTGATTGAGATGCTCTGGCTAGCAGTGGAGAAAATGATTAGATACCTACCTAGGCCATCTCTAAGACTGCTGTGCTGAAGAAGGGACCTTTAAGATTACAGGCCTTGCCTACGCTGAAGGCTAGTACTGGCTTTCTCTTTGTCACGTCTAGTTTATTAAAATGTTTACATATGTTACAATCACAAGTGTGTGTCTGTTCTTGTATGCATTAGAACATACCAGTAGGCAATATTTGCCTTAATCGAGGCATGCAACAAGTACACAGGATTTGGAATATATAAGCTTTAAAATGCACCCATTGGAAATTCCTTCTCCAGATCTTTATAACCTGGATAATTTAAACTGAGTTTGAGGGGGTGTAAAAATCATCTACCAATTAAAATGAGCTTTAAAATTTATATGTAACCATCCTTCTGCCATGGCTTGGTAACAGTCTGCCCTTGTTGTCTGCGTGGCAAAGTAGGCTAGACATTCCTGGCTCTGCATCTGCAGTCTGAATCCCAGACTGTAATCAGTGGAAAATCCTCTGATGGTCTGGAAATAGTGAATGACATTTCCTGAAATGGATTTGGGGGTTCTTAATTCACCTTTCACTGCAGCACAATCCATGTCACTGAGCCATTATGGTAGTTAGCATATTTTGGCATTTTGACTAACCATGACTAAGATTGGAAAAAAATGGAAGACTTTTTGTATTTAAATATTTCATGAGAATAAAAATGGATTCCAGCAACAGCTTAGAGGAACATAGCAGCAGAACAATTAGAATTTCTGAACTATTGCACAAACATACAAATGCAAAGTCATTACAATAAGTACATTAAAATAAAATAGATCAAAATGTACAATTAGCATAAGTAACCTAAGGTTATAGAGATTGGTTAAGAATAAAGGAAACATGACAACTATCAAATATATGAAATAATAGCCAATTAGTCACAGCAGCAGCTGTTCAATAGAGATGTTTTGGGTATAATGTTAATAAGCTTTACATTTTTTACATTTGTCTTGGTCTGTTAGCAGCTTGCCTCTTTTGTTTTGAATAATATATTCACAATGTGGGCTGAGTACAGGGCAGAACTAGGAACTGCTGAGTTGGACTGTGAAAATAAGTGATTTTTTTTTTGCTTTATGGGTGGAATGAAAAATTGGAGGGAAAAGTTGTTTCTGGTTGATAAGCCTTTTCCCCCCCTCTCATTTACATGGAACAAACCCCTTAAAAAACAAAAGATTGAATCATGAAATATGGATAGACCCATAGTTAAAACATTGTGGTTTGCACTCAGATGTTCTTTTTCTAAAAAAAAAGAATATATATATATATATAAAAAAAAATTTTAAACAAGTCAAAATATTTAGTTTTAGAATATCAAAATGAATTTTGGCTTTTCAAAAACTTTTTCTTCAATTTGTTTTTCAGCCAAACACTCAGCTCATGTTCAGTGAATAGCTTCTATTGCATCAACTCTGCATTGTCAAAATAATAATAATAATAGTTTTGCTGGTAATAATAAATTCACCCATGTAAACTGCTCAGGTGAAATCTGGCTGTGGTTTTGACTCTGTCTCTGACCTTGGGCATATCATTTTCTCACTTCCATCAGTCTATAAAATATGAATAATAAATAGATCCTCGCAGCAGAGGTATGAAAAACAATTAGCTAATATTTACAAAGTGCTTTGAATATGAAATGTGATTCTCGGGTACTAAGAATTGTTACTGTCACTCTTTATAGTGGATGCTGTCATTTGACAAGCCCTGGCTTTGTTTTATTAGACCTGCCGTGAGTAGAAAGAAAACAAGAAAAGCCTAGAGAAAAGTTCATAAATATTTACAGCCCCCCTTGAAAGAAGTTTTATACCAAATTTCCCATAGCTACTCCCTGTTGTTGGTGCTATTTGAAAAAATGGAGATGTCCATTTCTTGGACCTAAAATTTTAAGTCCTTCTAGTCTAAGTCCATCTAATTAGAGTGCAAAAGACAAGCTCCATCACACCCACTGCGCTCTGATGGAATACAGCACTCATGCTTCCTGTGTAATTATACAGTATTGTCAATCAATTTCCCACCAAATAGTGTATTAAGCAAGTAACTACTGTGTTTGCTTTTGTTCAGGCTTTTCTCCATCGTATTTGTCTTCTAAAAATAGATCTCTTTCTCCGGTTTTTCCAGAGTCTGTTTTCTCTCATCCGTTTCTCTTTCGTTCCTATAACCTTGCTCTTGCATGCACACTCTTCTTCCCCTTTTCATGAATATCTTCCCTACTTCTTAACTGATGTATCCTGCTTCCTGGGGGACATGTCCCAAGATACAGTGTGGAGTTAGGTGTGCAACTGCCATTGACTTTTGGTGGGAGCATGGTGCCTGTCTCTCCTTTGTTCTTTTGAACATCGGCCCCTGCACCTTCATTACAGAATTTCTCTGTGCAGCTGCTCGCCAACTCGCGCACCCTTGCCCTCATCCTGCGGAGGTTCAAGCCCGAAACAAGGCTTGAAAAGACTCCTAGTAGGCCAAGAAATAAACTGAAACAAGGCTCCAGGGAAGCAGGCAACCTACTGCATTCCCTTTCACCACTCCCTGTTGCAGATAGTAGCCAGAAGGGAGCAGCGTGGAGGAGGCCACAAGTAGCTGCCGTGGCAAATGTGGCAGCACAAGGAAAAATGAGGATAGTTACTGTGTCCAGGCTCTGTCACTTCTTCCTCTCTTCCCCGCTTCTCCTGCTAACTCCTCTCATATATCCCACCAGCATCTGGCACCCATCTACCTGTCTACTCCTCAAATTCTCTTACAAGTGTCCCACTTCCCCCTCCACCTCTTCTTTCATCCTTGAAGGCTGTTACCCTCCAGACTGTTTCCTACACATACCTCCAAGAAGCAGCAGTCTGACAACCATCTGCATGGTTGAATTCTCAAATCCCTTCCAGCACCCTTGCTTCCTCCTGCCTATATCAGTCAACTCAACTCTTGGTCACAGCTCCCAAGTTGTGTGCAGCTACCTAACCTCCCTTTGCAGCTGATTGTAGCCTGGTATGCTTGGCCATAAGCCGAAGGTTCTTGTTATATGCATATCATTTATAGATATGCACATAGGCCGTTTAATTAATTTGCATCAGTGTCACACATGAGGCGGCGCAGAACTTGGCAGTTCTGTTCTACCAAGGAATCTTATGAGAAGGGACAGAGATGCATAAAAATGCAAATTACTTTGTGCCTGCCTGATTATACCCCTTAACTGTTTAGAGAAAATTTGAATGACTGCAGCAGTAGATCATTAGGAAGCAAAGAGAAGCTGGCTTTGTCCTGACAGGTGTGAAAGGGAAGCATCATCTGTTATGTAATTGTACTGAATTTCTGTAATGTACAAGTTGACTCTGAGGGACTGATAATTTTATCAATAACAATTGAAGTCAGTAGAGATTGATGTGCATGCGAACTGCAGGATGTGGCTGTGGGCAGGTAAGCATTTGAATGTGGAGCCCAATACTTGGGTTGTAAGCTGATTTCTGAAAGGCTCATGATAGATGTGGTATTGCATTGCACAGTCTTCCAAATGAATGGGATTCTCTTATCTCCCCTTCTTTGAATCGCATGGTATTCGCCAGAACTGGAAGCAAAAGGCTGGACAGACTTGCCCAACAGTCATGTTTATCAGGTGTGACGCATCTCTTGTTCCTCTGTCTAGAGAAATTTCCCATACAGAAAAGCAGAACGTGACAGTCCTGGGGTGAAGTACATCACCACAGCTTTTGCAGGCACACCAGTTATTGAGTTCATTTGTGGTTTGGGAAATGATTTCGACCTCAGAGGAAGGCAGTGGAACAGCACCATGCCGGAGCCATTGTTCAGTAACATGCTTTTCATTTTGTTTTTTCTGTATTTTTGGTGGTCCTGATGCATGTCCAGTGCTGACGTGAGACCGGCTCCTGCACTTGTAGTGTCAGCACTAGCCGCAAGTGACTTGACTTTGTCCTGGGAACCAGGCATTAGAGTTCATAAAAATAAAAGTTGACAAGAAGGGTGTACTGTACTGTCCAATGCCTCCTGCTGACCTATGTTGTCTTCACAGAGAACTGCCATGAACATGGCATGGCCTCTGATGACAAAAGAAAGTCTAACTTAGAAATCTTCATTGGCAATCACTGCTACACTAGAATAAGTTTCTATAGCAACAGGGTAAAATTGTGAAGCAAGTAGTTATTCTGTGTCAGATAAATGTTTTCCTGGCTGTATTGCCTTTCCTGGATAATTTTTTTTAAAGTTATATCTGTGATCATATTCCCTATTTGGGGTGGAGGACAATGCTGCAGGACAGTTACTACTTAACTGAGTTTGTTTTTGAGCTGTGTAGTTCTCCAGGCTGTAGTGGAGACTTGCTGGATTCCTCTTTAGGGAATTTCAGAATCTGTGACTGCCATTTACCCTCGGCCAGTTGTTCTCAGCTGGGGTGATTTGCCGTTGTCTCCTTTTGCGGGTGCTGTGGGGTGCATTGAGATAAGTATTCGCTCTTCCCTGCCAGGCCCTGTGAAGAGAGTAAGTGTAGGCTCCTCTCTGCCTGGCAAGGAAATAAGCTCATGGAGTTAAATGTTCTTCCTTTCTCACTCCCCCTGCGTGAGGAGATAAGCACCGCCAGTGCAAGGAGATGAGCTCGTGATTATCCCCAACCACTGGCCAGGAGTTAAATGCGGCAATAAGTCAATGAGTTAGTGAATTGGGGTGCTGCTCAGTTCACAGGCATTATGAAGCCTAAGAAGGTTGAGAACAACCGCCCTAGGCCTACAAACTATTTAGCATTTGCAAATTGTCTTTTCTCATTGGCTGCATTACCGTGATGCTGTTGTGTGTCAGTCAGTAACAATGTTGCAAGCATTCATGATTTTAAAAACAAACCATTTTCTAATAGCCAAGTGGCATCAGGAAAAGGGTAAAGAGCAGCCTTGTTCACACTGAGTAAAACAATAGTTCACAATCGGCAGTCTAATCGGTGGACTTTTCCTGGAGGAAAGCACTGCTCCACAGGGCAGATTCTGGAGCTCTTGCTCCTGAGCGTCAAACATTTATTCATACAGAAAATCCCTTTAAAGTGGCCACAGGTATAGGAGGATTTGACCCTGCTCCATTGACATCAATGAGTGTTTAGCAGGTGATTTGAATGGGAGCAGGATCAAACCCCAAATGAGTAACTGCTCATGAACATAACTAAAGCCTCCCCTTTCCAGCCCGTTACAAACACAGGATGTGAATCTGGGTATCACAGCCTGGTATTAATTAATTAAAGGGATTATATGACTTTGTGCTTCAAATAGCAAGGGACTGGATTTGATGACCCAAGAGGTCTCTTTCTGTCCTGTATTTCTAATGTTTATTTCTTTTTTTCCTTATCTTTTAATTGACTTTCCTTTTCGATGTAAAAGTTGCACATAATACAATTAGACGAGTGTAGTATAATGTGTGTAATGGTTTTTCTCTTTGACTCTTGCAGGATGGCTATTTTTCCCACCGTCCAAAAGAGAAAACGCGAACAGACAGCAATAATGAAAACTCTGTACCCAAGGACTTTGAAAATATTGATAACAGTAACTTTGCTCCCAGGACTCAGAGGCAAAAACACCAGCCTGAGCTGGTGAAGAAGCCCCTTAGCAAGCAGAAGGAGCACTTGAAAAGGAAACTAGAGCAAGAAGAAAAGGTAAAGGAGAATTCATTGCTGGGAAAGACCTCCAATGAAGTAGTGCACTTCGGTGACCATGCTGTAAAGAACAGTAGTAGCAGCAACTTGAAGGAAATTCACAGGTCTCCCAGACAGCACCATATAAAAAAGAATGGGAACAGCTCACCTGAAATAAAGTATGACCAACTGCCAAGATGTGAGATCTCGGGCAAGGAGGCAATCTCAGCTCTGTCCCGATCCAAGTCTAAGCAGTGTCGGCAGGAGATTGCAGAGATATACTGTCAACACAAGCAAGGGAAGCTGATGCCAGAGATGGTTACACGGTTCTGTCCCCTGGAGGGTAAGTTGGTGGATGCTGAAGTGGGGTGAACTACACTACATTAGGAGAGGAATTGTACACAGGAGTAGAGTCTTGACTCTGATCCAGTACAATAAAAAACAACACTGCAGTAAGGTAAAGTGCTATTTTTCTCGTTTGTGTTAAAACAGCGAGTACCTCAGGATGACTTATGCAGAGAATTATGCAGAGAACGCAGGATTCTTGTTAAACATAAATTGAATGTTCTGGTTCAGTTTCCTTCCAATAGATTTTTTACATGTTATTTTAACCAGTTTTTGAACGAGTTCTATCAGACATTAGCAGTAACTTTTCCTTCATTCTCACATACAGAGAAGCCTAGACAAGGGTGGGAATTCATTCATGCATTGTTCTACAAAGGAAATAAGCAATATGAAGAAACAGGGAAACCACCACTCCAGACGCTCACTTTCTACCAGCCAGCCCAGGGTCTGTGGTGCAGATCACTGGCAGTTAAAAGAGAGCTACTTGGATGAAAGCTGCTAATTCAGAAGCAGACACCATCTTTTTTCTTCATTTCTTTGTACAGCATGTAGCACAGTGACTAGGCATGATAGTACTAGGGGTGCACCGATAGAGATTTTTGGGGCCGATACCAATAGTCAATTTTTAAGGAGGTATATCAGCCAATACCAATCTGATTTCTGATACACAGCTCTTCAGCTTGAAGAGGGTCATCCAGCTGGTAAGCTTGGTGTAGTGGAAGGGGAGGGAGGGGGTATTTGGGAGGGCAGATATAGGCTCGTGCGGTGAGGGAGGGAATGGGGCTGGGGCTGGGGCTGGGGCAGGTGCTGACCAGCCAGAATGGGGAGAGGCCCGGGACAGAGCTGCAAGTGGCTCATCTGTGGGCTGGGGGAGGTGTGCCCCCCGGATCTGCCAGGCCGGGAAGAGCCAGGCCCCCGCCTGCCCTGGCCCACCCAGATCTGAGGGCACCCTCCTCCCCACCGTGCCTGGATGAGCAGTGGGAGCCACCAGACGAGCACCAGATGAATTGTGCCCCCTCCCATGTCCCGCACCTGCCTGGCCTCGGGTGCGCAGCCACTGCCCTAGCCCCAACCCCAACCCCACACCCTCCCTCACCGCGTGGGCCTTGATCTGCGCCCCCATGCCCCTTCTCCCTCCCCTTCCCCTTCTCCCTCCCCTTCCCCTTTCACCACACCAGATTTACCAGCTGCACACACCTCCCCATACTGCCAGCTCTGCTCCTCACTGCTTACGCACTGCGCTGTTGCTGCACACACTCCTGGGCATTTATCAGAAATTATCTGCCGCATCAGGGTGATTTCCAATACAGAACATTTTATTTATATCGGTGCACCTCTAGATAGTACCATAAATGATACTAGCAGAACTGCATCAGCCCTGCATAGACTTTCATGAGCAAGAGCTCAATAAGACTACAGGCAAAACATTCTGTTTTTAATGAAGTCTTCAATCAGAAAGATGTTTTCAGACCTCATTAGCTTAGAGCTTCCAATCCGCACCATAGTATAAGACAGCTTTGGTGATTTTACTTTTTGTGTGTCACGTTTATGGCTTGTCTCGCAACTCGCATGCATGTGTGTGTGTGTGCATGTGCATGTGTGCTGACCTATTTTCACCTTTCAAAAAGTTTTTCGTTCTTCACCGTGTATTTAATTGTAAAATAGCCTCCCCTTTTAAAATGCTTTTTACCACTGACCATAGATAATGAGCCCCAAACTGTATTGTCAGCAACAGTAGTGGGTATACAGAAGGCTAAAACCCCAGTCCTACAATCGGTACTTCAGTACTCGCAGAGCACTGGGGGTTGAGAGAGGCTACTAAACCAGTGCTACAGAATGGGATCATTCCCTCATGAATATATGGCTCCCTTTTTTGTGAGTTTCTTTTGGCTTTTTTCACGCATGCTGCACTCACCATTGCTTCACTGAGTAGTAGAAAATAGGAAAGTGGGCAATGGCTTCAGGCTTTGTCAAAGATTCAGGGTCTGATGGGATATTCGGAGGATAAGTGGGTCGTGAGGCTTGACAGACCAGGACAGAAGAGACAAAAAAGCCGAAAGCTAAAGAGAACCTGACCTTGGGAAAAGGCTGAGCTCTACCATACACTCAGAGGAGTCCCAGCAAGGTTTGATATTGCAATTGTCTCTTGGTGTCATTTTCTTTTCTTTCCTAAAGATACAAAATGCAGATTTTGCCCGGTGAGAGAGTTGAGCAGACTCTGTGCCTTATGGGTCTGTTCTACACTTTCCAGGATCTGGACGTCTTAAATTGTGGGGGATGGGGGAGAGTTGGTGTATATACCACAAACACCCACCTACCCACATACCCATCCTTGTATCACGTGGCAGCAGTCCCTCAACACAAGGATGACAGTCTTCCAGTAGATAGAGAGGTTATCAGTGGGTCTAGAGATGATGTACACTCACACAGTATGAAAGTGCAGCAAGGGATGTATTGCACAGGCATGCATTAAAGGTGTGTACAATTTAATGCCTGCAGTCACATCACCTGGCTGCTAATCCATCTCCCTGGGACATATTGTAACATTCCAAGCCACTTAACCAGCTGCCAGCCTTAGCCCAAAATATTTCCTAGTTCTGTCATGTATACATGTGCCCAAGGGTCAAAAGAGGTATGTTCTGTCATGTATATGTATCCAAAGCCAGGAGAAGTATGTTGCAGTCCTGGCTTTGTGTAAGACATTTTCCAACAGGGACTCAGTTCAAATGTCTGAAATGTTCCAGTGCACAGCTATGCATTACATGGTGTGAAGTATTTTTGTTTGTTAGGCAGTAGAGTACATGGTCGAGAAAAGCTGACTGGAGAGCAGGGAAACTTGTAAAAAATTATTAACAATAAATTGATATTCCTTTGATCTGTTTGCAATTTAACAATGTGCATATAGGCAGTAACAGGTGATGAATTTTCCTGGCAGTCACCTGAACAAAAAATAGTTCCTTCAATAAGGTGTGCAGCACGTATAATAAAATAGAAGGTGTAGACAGGCCATTGCTAGGAGTTTTCAAACTAGCAGGGATATCCCTGGAGCTCCATTAGCTTTTTATTGTTCGCAGTGAGGCCTTTTTCTGAAAATGTCTTTACCCAGCCAGATGGATCCTTGTAGAAAGTGTTGACTTTTCTTTGCCTCAAGGTTATTCCCTCCTGCCACTAACAACTGAAGTTAAGCATTTTCACTGCCAAATTTTCTTCCATGTGGTGTTCTGTGTATCCTACAGTAGACACAGGGATGATAGGAGCAGGCTTGGCAGCTTTGCAACAGGGAAGTGATAGAGCGGCATCCTAATCCAGGGAAAG